AGACTTTTATCAACTTTATTACATACACATTTCCATTGTATTATTAAGTACATGGTTTTTAAAAAGAATATTCTTTTTAAAAACCATGTATTTAATATTGCAATAGAAATGTGTATGTAATAAATTTGATAAAAATCTCTTTTAACCATTTCCATACCGGGCACTTTTACCCCCTTCCCTCCCAGGCCAGTTTTCATGTTTCAGCGCTCTCACACTTTGAATGACAATTGCGCGGTCATACAACATTGTACCCAAACTAAAATATTATCATTTTCTTCACACAACTAGAGCTTTCTTTTGGTGGTATTTAATCACCGCTGGGGTTTTTATTTTTTGCTAAATTAATAAAAAAAGACCAAAAATTTTGAAAAAAAAACACCTTTTTTTTCGTTTCTGTTATAAAAGTTTGCAAATAAATAATTGTTCTTCATAAATTTAGGCCAAGATGTATTCTGCTACATGTCTTTGGTGAAAATAACCCAAATTAGTATTTATTATTTATTCTGTAGGAAAGTTATAGAGTTTACAAACTATGGTATAGATCTGAATATTGATCAATCCTGAAGTACTGACAGCCAATCTAATTTCTTGAGGTCCAAGAATGTCAGAAAAGTACAGATATCCCCCAAATGACCCCTTTTTGCAAAGTAGACAGTCCGACGTACTTCATAACAGGCATGGCAAGTTTTTTGTGATCAGGGCCACTGACTGGTGACAGTATGAAAAAAATACATATATAATATTTTTTTTTGAATTTTTTTTTATTATTGTTAATTTTTTATTACATTTTTTTCTTTTTTTAAAGATTTTTTTTTTATATTTCACTATGACCAAAGTAGTATAATGTTACCATAGTAACATTGTACTACTTTGGGGAAGTGATCAGTATTTTTTTTTTTTTTTTTTTACACAATTTGCTTATAGCAAAGAATTACTTTGCTTTAAGCAAGCATTTACCTGAATGACATCGATTCATTCAGGGGTTTTTTTTTTCGTGCTTAACTGTGATTTGCCCACGGCTAATCACATGACACAGCTGGGCTGTGATTGGCCCAGCTTGTGCATGTGATCGCTGTGACCATTCACAGCTAGACACACTAGTATACAATGGATGACATGAATGAAGCCATCCATTGTATACAACTGTCATGTGACCTGCTGTGATTGGGCACAGCAGGTCACATGGTACCGGCAACGGGGCCGGTACTCGGATCTGTCCGGTGACAGATCTCGGCTCTGCAGGCGCGCAAACTGCGCATGCCTGGGAGGGCGCCATATGGCGTCCACCCGGAACACTGAAGGATTTTGCCAGCCACCAAACGGCTATTGGCCGGGTGGCTAATGGTTAACAAAATGTCTCTTTCAATATGATCCTATTGCTGCATTAAAGTCCCACTGGGGGTTCTTTGGGTATATGCAGTAGTACCCAGTAGTAGCACTACATCACACAAGCAATGAATCAGTTAGTAAAGGCAAACTTAATATATTATCACCTGCTATGGCTGGTAACAAAGTAAGCATACACATTTATTAACAATGGTAATGACACAATTTAGAATACAGGGTGATTAGTAATAAGGACTAGGCATAAGATCACACTTTGCTTTCAGATCAGTATAAACAGTAGCAAAGTCACCTAAAGTGCAGCAGTGGGCAGTAATAATGCTTGATTTACCAAACACAGGAACTATACTGCCAAAGTGCATTAATGGTGACTATGCGAGGCCTAGACTGACTGGAGAAGGGAACGAGGGGGCTTGCAGGACAGGTTTATGGGAGGGGTAGTCCTTTATGTTGTTCTAATGCCTGCTATCGATGGGACCTTTAAGAAGCATTGGTGCATTTAAGGATAGCTTCTCCTTTTTAAACTGAAGATGGTTCTTAATGACATTGGCTGTATGTTTGGGGTAGTTGTCCTGATGCAGAATACATGTGGGCCCAATCACATGCCTCCCTGATGGTATGGCAAGATGGATAAGGATCTGCCTTCATTTCTCAGCATTGAGGACACCATTGATCCTGACTAAATCTCCACCTCCATTTGCAGAAATGCAGCCCCAGACTTGCAAGGAACCTCCACTATTCTTCACTGTTGCCTGCAGGCACTCAGTATTGTACCACTCTCCAGCCCTGCGGTAAACAAACTGCCTCCTGCTACAGACAAATATTTCAAATTTTGACTCATCAGTCCAGAGCATTCGTTGCCCTTTTTCTGCACCCCAGTTCCTATGTTTTTATACATAGTTGGGTCACTTAGCCTTGTTTCCACGTTGGAGGTGTGGCTTTTTGGCTACAATTCTTCCACGAAGACCACTTTTGGCCAGACTTCTCCGATCAGTAGATGGGTGTACCTGGGTCCCACTGGTTTCCACTTCTTTGCTGAAGGCACTGCTGGATATCTTCTGATGTCGAAAAGAAGTAACCATGATGTGTCCTTCATCTGCTGCATTGTTTCCTTGGCCAACCACCTTGTATATGGTCCTCAACATTGCCCGTAAAGTAAGGATGATATGTTTTGTTATTTAAAAAAAAAAATGGGTTTACAATCACTTTAGGTCATTTGTAAATGATTGATTATTAACACGATTTTATTCACACTAAAGGGGAATGGGCACTGCAGCGCTGGCAGGGATATCACTAAGTGTTTACACATCATGAGTTGAGTGTATTGGTTATACATAATCCTTCTTCGATTTTTTTTTTTTTTGATTAGAGGAAGTTGCTCTCAGCTGCTATGAAAGTATTTTCAACTAGCATTGCTGATACTGCTATAAAAACACTTACTGCACAAAACGTGATATGATTTTCTAGTGATCTAACAACTGGTTAAAGTTGATATTCAGGCAAACAGCTAAATACATAGCTGTAATACGTATATGTGAAAGTTCTAACCTGCTAAAGGATTTGTAATTCTGTTTAGCCAGTATTGCTTTCCAGACACTCTGCCATACAGAACAGTCAGGTCACCAAGTGCACTTTTCTTCATTTTAAGAAAAACGAATTGGTCTGTGACCTACCGCCAGCCTTTAAGAATGAAGGATCATCACCATGCTGAGGAGGTCATCATTCCACTGTCTGCTCCTGTAAGCAAAGTACCAATGTTAGATTGACAACACTGCAATAGAGCTTTGTTTGACTCATGATGTTGACATTTCAGCTCCCAGACTTGGTGTACAATTTTATATAAAGACAAATACATGCACTAATATTAGTTGTATTTACAAATACAGTACATGTAATTTTTTTTAATAAATAGATAACTGGAATTAATGATGATCCTTTGTGTTTGCCTAGAGTTCTACTTTAATAAATAAAAGCCAAGCTTTGTTAACATGCAGCAATGAATGTGCCATGCCTTGTTTGTATTTGCACAGTAAAAAAGCACAATACCTTAATATTAATATAGTCACATATGAAAAATAATCTGACTTCCAATTGCCTTCTGTGTGGGCCAGCAGTGTATACCATAAATCCAGTTCACACTGACTAAATGACACTGTAGGGGACGTCGTAATGATTGAAAAACAAACTGAGGCACAGGGCCAGGGCAGACATTCTCACTGACTGCCATCCAGAGCTTTTCCAAATGTTGTGTGCCACCGACTATTGTGCATTTTAATTACATTTTTTATGGCTTGCGCTGGTAAAGCTCACCTGAGATGTAGAGTGCTCTGCTGTTTAACAGCGTGGAATTGATGTCAGTGTGGAAATCTTTAATGCCAAATTTATTTTTCTTTTTTTACCCACCAGGCAATCTCAGCATCGATCTCAGTAAAAGCTTTAGGTGCAAAATCCTGTATAAGTCTACCTGCCACTTGATAGGATCCTTGTAATTTGCTATGTCTGGAAAAAACAAAGACTAGATAAAAATGAAAGCAGTTGGAACAATAAGGGTTTAAGACTCTTTGAGAGACCCTTCTTCCCCCACCGTAACATGGTAACAGAGTCTCTCTTCTCTGGTTGGCAGTGCTTTGTCCTCATCAGAAGAAAGAGCGCCTGTTGCTAAGGTGTGAGGGTCATTTGGTAGCAAAAACTGAAGAAGAAAGATCTTGTTTAGAGACTGTGTTGATGGGCTTTGGGCATGTGACGATGAGATCATTTTGACATCAGTTTAAATTGGCCATACACAGTTAGAGTTTTATTGCAAACAAATTACAAACTCTTCTGCTCTCAAGTGTGAAATCTCTAATAAGGGTGGATGGTAAATGTTCCTCGTCACTGGAAAAATTCAAGACATCTCCAACCTTTGCAGCCCTCCTCAGACCGAGGTGATTGAAAACTGTACGACAAAAGAAACAAGAGAGGATAGACCAGCCTAGTGTGTTATCCAAAGAACCATTTATTTAAAGTAAAAATAGGTAATCATACTCTTGTAGCGCCAACCCTGAAGGAGCCGCTTGGTAACTTTGGGTTCTCTGTTCTGTGCCTTGAATCCAAGAAACAGCCTCCACCCCTCTGACACACCTGGTTGACTAAAAATCACTGCAAGCACGGATAAATACACAAGTGTAAAATACCTTTAAGCTGGCTGTGGGTTACTACCAGTAAATAGACACACTCCCGTTAGTGGTAAATGCTCTTAATCTATTGATAAATTGCTAGAATTAAATGGCAAATTGAATATAAATGAGCACACAGTTGATAGCTTATAAAACAGTCTGCTAGAAAGAGTAATAACTATGGCAAAAATTAGATTTTATACCTCTAACTAGAATCAGGAGGGTAAGTTAGTAAATCAGCAATAAACAATATTAGCAAACAATAAATGCAGTAAATATGTTAACACCACGCTAGGTTAGAGTGCACTCTACGGGATGGCTGGGAAGCAGCATCTCTAAAGATGTACCTCCTTTAACCACCTCCCGCCCGCTATATAGTAATATGATGGGTGCAAGGTGGTTCTTTCATCCTGGGAGGATGTCATATGACATCCTCCCATTCTAACCACGCATGCGCGGCTCCCGGAGCGCGCGCAGCGCGGCGATCGCTGGTGCGCTGTGTCCCTCGGACACAGCGGATCACCGATCCACGGAAAGAGCCGAAGATGTCGGCTCGGTCATGTGATCAGCTGTGTCCAATCACAGCTGATCACATGTAAACAGGGAAATGCCGGTTATCGGCATATCTCTCCCCACAAGCTGTCACGCTGACAGCTGGTGAGGAGAGGAGAGCTGGTAATCGGCATTCCTCGGAGGGGACATCTACACTGATCATCAGAGCACTGATGATCAGTGTGCCCTGATGATCTGTGTAGCCCCAGCAGTGCCACCTGTCAGTGTCCATCAGTGCCAGCTCTCAGTGCTCATCCATGCCACCTGCCAGTGCCCATCAGTGCCATATTTCAGTGCCACATCAATGCCACATATCAGTGCCCATCTGAGCTGCCTTTCAGAGTCACCCATCAGTGCCAGTCAGTGCCACCTATCAGTGCTGCCAATCAGTGCCACCTATCAGTGTGCATCAGTGCCGCCTATCAGTGCCCATCAGCGCTGCCTATCAGTGCCGCCTATCAGTGCCATATATCAGTGCTGCCTTTCAGTGCCCATCAGTGATGCCTGTCAATGCCCATCAGTGCCACCTACCAGTGCCTCCTCATCAGTGCCACCTATCGGTGTCCATCAGTGCAGCCTATCAGTGCCCATCACTGCAGCCTCATTAGCGCACATCAGTGAAGGAGAAAAATCACTTATTTTTAAAGTTTATAACAAAAACTAAGAAGATTTATTTTTTTTTTTTATAAAATTTTCAGTGGTTTTTGGTTTGTATAAGAAAAAAAAAACCCAGAGGTTATTAAATACCACCACAATAAAGCTCTATCAGTCACAAAAAAATTATAAAAATTTCATATGGGTACAGTATTGCATGACTGCACAATTGTCATTCAAAGTGCAACAGGGCTGAAAGCTGAAAATTGGCCTGGGCCCTGGAAGGGGGTATAAGTGCCCTGTAGGCTAGTGGTTAAAAAAAAACACGAGGCCTCAGGGCAGTAACTGTTAGGAGCAGTCTTTAGCCCTGACTCTTCAGCCAGCTTAAAGACCTGCAGGCAGTATTAGATCTATGGAGTAACTGGAGGGTAGTTCCTAATGGCTCAGTCACTAACAGTGGTAACATGTAACAGCCACAAGGCCCTCTCACCAAAACCCAGTGACACAGCAGCAGTGGTCTCTCCAATCGGGTATCTACTCACTCTGGGTTGCCCGTGACAACTCTGGTAGGTAGCTTTGTCCCTCAGTATTCAGGACATGCCCTGCACCCTCTAACAAAACAATCACACAAAACCGGTGGACACATAACAGGTGGTACATGTGAGCAAGGACAGTTGGAGTATGATGAGTGTTGGTAGCAATACCAGACCAAAAGTGTGTCACAGATAGGCAAGAAGTGCACACCCACCAATGGACAGGAAGTTTCAGGAGTATGATGAGTGTTCAATGGTAGCAAGGGTACCAAGACCAAAGTGTGTCACACCTCTGATAGGCAAGAAGTGCATCACCCACCAATGGACAGGAAGTCTTCAGGCGGCCATTTACAGTTTTTCTAGAGTTCTTCACATGACAGTGTAAGCGTATTGTGGTCTCCAAGATCAAATTTTTTTTTCTTGTAACTGGACACCCTTTCACTTTAACAGAATCTATTACCATCCCTACGGCGAATTCATGGCTCAGGCATGCAGATGAGCACTTTTTGTGGCATTGGGTTACGTGGCAGTGGCTTAAGTTGATTATTGGCTAACAGAGTCAAACAGTTCAATTTACAAGGACATTGCCACCAACACTCATCATACCCCCACTGTCCTTGCACTGGTTTTATGTGGTGTTTGTTTGGTTTCTCCTATCCTCATGTGGGAATTACTGACAACAGAATTATTGAGACTAAGCTGAACATTGACTTCACAGGTTTAGCGCCTTGGTTCATTAGCAGTGGCTCTGTACCCTCTGGCTGTCTCTCACATGGCTGTTGGCTCAACTGATTAGGCTCTTACTCTCTTAGGTGGAGTTTTCTTGACATGTCCTGTCACACTCCTGTCACATCACTCTCCTATCACACTCCTGTCACATCACTCTCCTGTCACACTCCTGTCACATCACTCTCCTGTCACATCACACTCCTGTCACACTCCTGTCACATCACTCTCCTGTCACATCACACTTCTGTCACACTCCTGTCACATCACTCTCCTGTCACATCACACTTCTGTCACACTCCTGTCACATCACTCTCCTGTCACACTCCTGTCACATCACTCTCCTGTCACATCACTCTCCTGTCACATCACTCTCCTGTCACATCACTCTCCTGTCAAACTCCTGTCACATCACTCTCTCCTGTCACACTCCTGTCACATCACTCTCCTATCACACTCCTGTCACATTCTCCTGTCACACTCCTGTCACATCACTCTCCTGTCACACTCTGAGGCGAATCCTTTTTCCAGAAACATCTGGCTCTCTTCTCCTTACTGCTGATTGGTCCATTGCTGTTGCTAGGAGGAAAGGGAAGAGAGTCCAAACACACAGTCCTCTCTTGTGGTTAAATTCTGTGTTGCTGACAAGAGATGGGGGGGCAGCGGGGAGTTATACAGACAACCTGCAGCTTACCTCTCCCTTGTCACAGTAAAGCCGGCTGTTTACAAAGTAAACTGGTGGAGAGGACAGGCAGATGAACCGGGGGGGGGGGGATATTTCGGCTGCCTGGCTACTACAATCACAAATGTGAATATATAAAAAGCTCATCTGAAATGCAAGGAGAGGCAGCAACCAAGAGCGCTGTATATGCCCCACGTTGACTCCAACAAGCTTAATGCAGACCTCTCAGCTAAAATGATATAAAATATCTTAGCTCTGAGGAAGAGGAGATACCCTCGAAACGCATCAACATCTGCATTAAGTTTGTTCGATGCCATTTGATCTGAGCTGGGGCATATACAGCGCATCAGTTTGATGTCTCTCCTTGCATTTGAGATGAACCTTGCATGCATTCACATTTGTGAGTATGATTACCTATCCTTACTTTAAATAAATGGTGCTTTTGATAACGCGCTACACGGTGTGCCCTCTTTTGTTTCTTTTGTCGTACAGTTATATTTTTGTTCAAACATTTGTAGTAAAATTGTTCATCAGAACATTCTCGCGGGCTCTCACTGAGTTAAAGTGGAGTTCCAGCCGTTTTTGTGTTTATTAAAGTCAGCAGCTACAAAAACTGTAGCTGCTGACTTTTAATAAACACGCTTACCTGTCCTGGAGTCCAGCGATGTTCTCACCCGTGCCGCCCCTTCTCCTCTTCTCTCCTCCCCGGTCCTGCCATCTCTACTGTGGGCACCAGGCTGTGACAGCTTGCGGCTTCACAGCCTGGTGCCCGCTGCACATGGGCAAGTCGTGCTGTGCCTCCTAATTGAAGTCTTCTGGGATCTGTGAAAGTTACCAGGGGACTGCGGGAGGGAGGAGGGGGCCGAACATCCGGCTCACTTTGCTGCAGCGAACTGAGCTGGAAATGGGAGCGGGTCAAAAACAGGTATCCGATCCCCCCCCCCCCCCAAAAGGTGCCAAATATGGCAGTGGAGGGTGGTGGGAGGCAAACAAGCGGAGCTTCCGCTTTTGAGTGGAACTCCGTTTTAATTAATTTCATTCAAAAGCCCCTAGATTTTTTGTCCAGACCTGCTTCTTGAATGGAAACCTAAACATATTAAACAGATTTCCTAACAATCAGGGCCAGGACAAGGGGTGGGCAGGAGGGCCAACTGCCCTGGGTGCAGGCTGGGAGGGGGGCGCTGAGTTGTGAAACTGCAGATAAATTGGTCCACATAATCTAGCTGTCCCAGCATGTTATGCCCCATGTTGCCTGCTTACTATCTGTAGGAGCAGCCACGCTCTCTATCGGGGTCTCTCCTCTTGGACTCCTGTCAGTCCAGCCAGCTGGATCAGGGCTGTCATAGTGCCGGAGGCAGTACAGGTGAGCAGCGTAAGAAGAGAACTGCTGCTCCGATCATTGCATCCACGTAGCACACACCAGAGCTCTCCTTGGGGCAGAGAGAAGATACCAGAACATGGATGGAGGACTACATCTTTTCCTCCTGTGAGTCCCGACCTTCTCTGCCTGCCTTACTGTACCATGCTGTGCTGTAAACCTTTGCAGCATCTTGTAGAGGAGGTTTACTAAAAGTGAAAGTCAAATTCTTCAATAGGTTAGGAGTTACTCTGACTTTTCAGAGTAAATGTATTCCACATACACATTACATCTTAATAAATATCATTCTTTTTTAATACGATGTAATGTCCACATACATTATTATTATTATTATTATTATATTATTATACAGTGTTTATATAGTGCCAAAAAGTTTAGTGTTGTACATTATAGTGGGGGACAGTACATGAGACAATACAGTAACAAAACAATACACAAGGGGTTCGAGGGCCCTGCTCTTTCGAGCTTACAATCTAGGAAGCATCGACTGTGTGTAGCACCTGAAAAGTCTCACTAATTCCTAGCCTATTAAAAATATGAGCATAAACCGTGGTGCCAGAAACCAGCCCAACTCCAAGCTCCTGCCAGCTCCACTTCTCTCCTCCTCCCAAAGCCTGCACACCATCACATACCATACAGGAACAATAATTTGGTAGTAAACTTGTTTTTGTGATTTTTACCTACAGGTAAGCTTATAATAAATACAAATATGCTCGGTGATCACTAATAAATACTTTACCCTATATAATCTCACATCTATAAATAAAGTCCAATTTTAAATTAAAGTCCAATAAAGCAAATACGTGTAGTCCAAAAAAAATAGTTTCCAATATAAACCAACGAAAACTCTTCACTGCTTGTAAACCTTGATTACCTCAAAAAAACAAAAAGATTCACATAGTGCATTATCCTTTATAAAATTCTCATTACCCTATAAGGTTAATACAATCTTATTCACCCAAGTGAGAAAACACGTGTATATATCCAAAACGCATACACATGTGATATATTGTGCAAAACCATGCAAGTGAGACACTCTACCGTGCTACAGACTCCTAGCACAGTGCACACTTCTATTGGGGTAAGGAATATATACCCTTACCAATATTTAAGATAATATATGCTTTATTATCTTAATCCTCAGAAAATTTCTCTGGTGGTGTAGATCTTTGTATGGATATCCTCCGGATTAGCTTTATAAAGGATCCTTCCACCCTAGCAGCCTGGAAATGCTTTCACCAAACACATCAGCCCGATTTCCATATATAAGGAACAGATCATAGCATAATACTGCCACATACTTTGATCAAAAACTTTTAATTATCTTGCTTACATTTAAAATCATCTTTAACCGCACATAATAAAAAACCTGTCTGCCATCCGGAATCCAGGAGAGTCCCAATCGCAACTCACAGCCGAGATTTTGCCCTCTCCAAGATGGCCGCCACTCTACTTCCGGAATTTTCGTATGCGTCTGACGTCACCTCCCTTTGACGCGTTTCGTCATTGGACGTAGTCATATGACTACGTCCAATGACGAAACGCGTCAAAGGGAGGTGACGTCAGACGCATACGAAAATTCCGGAAGTAGAGTGGCGGCCATCTTGGAGAGGGCAAAA